CGACGGGTATCTTTGCTCTCTACTTGTATCCTCCCGCTGATCCCTCAAAGCAAACCGTTGATGGAGGCCTACTCCTGGGTGGAGGCGATCCTGCATTATATGAAGGCGGACTGAAGTACATCGACTTCTCTACGGAGAAATATTACATGGTAAATATTGACAAGCTACAAGTCGGCGATGGACGTATAACTCTTGGAATTAATATGAACTTGTGCCTCGACACCGGCTCCAATTATCTAGCCGTCCCAAAATTATACTATAACGGCCTCATTGAGGATATTAAAGCTCAAACTGACAAGGCTGCGGGTACGCATGTCCACTTCAAGCTCAGTAGGGCAAGGAAATGGTGCTTCCCTTGCCAATACATGAATAAGTTGCCACTGTTGAGGTTCGACTTGGGCCCTAAGGGCATAACTCCATTCACGGCGACATACAAGATTTATGCCGTGAATGTATCTAATGTTTGTTCACTCCTGATCTCGGAGTCCCAACATAATATTTGGTTTTTCTTCGATCGTATGCTTATTGATCATTATTTCGAGTTCGACCCTGCTTCCAAACGAGTCGGAATCGGGAAGTTGAAATCGCGATCTCCGTGAACAATTCCCTTCTTTTGTGGTTTTCTTTCGAGTCTGCGGCTCACAGCGGAATGCCCTCCATTGTCGTTGTCCATTTCATGACCGCTCCGTGGGAAGACTTTTAGCTGGATGCTGGCCTTTTACTATTCAGAGGAATGCTATTCGGCGAATCATTCGTTTCATTGAGAAATTACTTTTCGGCTAATGAGCCCGCCATGTCAGCAGATTAGGATTTAACTTACACATATTAAAACATTGGAACTTCTTGAGTTCATCATGAGTGCATCATATGGCCGAACAAGGAACTAAATTTGGCCGCTACACTTGAGCGATTAGCTCCAAAGTGAACATGCTGTGATGTCGTGATGTCATCACAGTGATGATTCACGCTATAACGCTTGCAACTAAGTGACAAGGGTGATATCACATTCCATGAGTAGTAGCACCTTTGTCCTATTGATACAGTCTCTGATTTGAGAAGCTCTGATGGCGTAGCAATTCATCGGACGGTTTAATATGAAGACTATGATTGTATCAGTTCCCCTATTTTCGTCGAATATTGCTTGTGGTTTCTTGTATGGCAGGGTGACTCTACAAGCAGGGTTGTCGATTTCATGGAAATCGCAAGGCCATTTCTGAAATTGAAATTTCATACGGAAATTTCCATGAAATTTGTTTCAAAGGTGGAAAAAAAATTTCGCTCCGCCGGATACGGCGGAGGTCTTGTTGCTCTGAAGATCTCTGCTTGATCTTGTCGAAAAACTCCTTCAAACAGAGTTCCCCAGTTTCTCTAAAAATATCACCCCTGATCTTTTTTACTTCTTCATATGTGAGCGACTTGTACCCCGGATGAAGCGAGCCTAGGAGCGCACTGGTGCTGTTAGAAGTAATGTCTCTGAGACTCCAGTTCATAGCCGTAGCCAGAGCAACAAGATTCTTATGAA